AGTGGCAGGAACAGGCCGGGCCGGGCTGGCGACGCGCACCGTAGGCTTGGTGCGAGTGGCAGGAACAGGCCGGGCCGGGCTGGCGACGCGCACCGTAGGCTTGGTGCGAGTGGCAGGAACAGGCCGGGCCGGGCTGGCGACGCGCACCGTAGGCTTGGTGCGAGTGGCAGGAACAGGCCGGGCTGGGCTGGCGACGCGCACCGTAGGCTTGGTGCGAGTGGCAGGAACAGGCCGGGCCGGGCTGGCGACGCGCACCGTAGGCTTGGTGCGAGTGGCAGGAACAGGCCGGGCCGGGCTGGCGACGCGCACCGTAGGCTTGGTGCGAGGAGCAGGAACAGGCCGGGCCGGGCTGGCGACGCGCACCGTAGGCTTGGTGCGAGGGGCAGGAACAGGACGGGCCGGGCTGGCGACGCACACCGTAGGCTTGGTGCGAGGAGCAGGAACAGGCCGGGCCGGGCTGGCGATGCGTACCATTACCTTGGTGCGGGGAGCAGGAACAGACCGGACCGTACTGGGGACACACACCACTGGCCCTACGCCGGGATCTGGAACGGGCCGGACCGGACTGGTAACACACCCCAGTACCTCTCGCCGTGCCTCTACACCTTCCTTCCCCTCTTTGGGTGGCCCCCGTAATCTGGCGGCCTCCTCTGCCAACCTCCCAAATCGCCCTGTGGCAGCCTCCTGCTGCCCAGTCGCCCATGCCGTGTGCCCCCCCCCTAATTTTTTTTTGGGGTTGCCTCTCGTCCGTCCGACGACGACACTGTTGACGCCGTTGCTCCTCTCTCGCCAGGCCTTAATCTTAGCCCATGGCCCTTTTCCCCCGAGCATGTCCTCCCAGGACCACCCTTTGCCCACCTGGGCCATCGCCAACCTCTCCAGCTCCTTTCCCGGCACTTCCTCCCATGTCCAGGCTGCCTGCTCCTGGACACGCTGCTTGGTCCTGGTATGGTGGGATCTTCTGTCACGATCGTTAGACGGAGTAGACCAAGGCGCAGCGGGATGAACGAACATATTTATTATCTTTAGTGATAATACAATAACAACAAACAACAAACGATACGTGCAGTCCTAGGGTTAACACAACCAACACGGAACAAACCAAACGGAACAAGATCCCACAAACACTAAGGGAAAACAGACTGTTTAAATATGGTTCCCAATCAGAGACAACCAGCAACAGCTGACACTCGTTGCCTCTGACTGGGAACCACTCTGGCCAACATAGAAATACAACACATAGAACTACAACACAGAACTAGAACACATAGAATCTACACACCCTGGCTCAACATATAGAGTCCCCAGAGCCAGGATGTGACACTCTCTCGCCCTCCCTTTGGCAAATCAGGCCATAACTCGATCCTCCTGCTTCCTGCTTACAAGCAAAAACTCAAACAGGAAGTACCAGTGACGCGCTCAATACGGAAGTGGACCGATGAAGCGGATGCTAAGCTACAGGACTGTTTCTCCAACACAGACTGGAATATGTTCTGGGATTCATTCGATAACATTGAGGAGTTTACCACATCAGTCACCGGCTTCATTAATAAGTGCATCGACAACGTCGGCCCCACAGTGACTGTACATACATAACTCAACCAGAAGCCATGGATTACAGGCAACATCTGCACTGAGCTAAAGGCTAGAGCTGCTGTTTTCAAGGAGCGGGACACTAATCTGGAAGCTTATAAGAAATCCCATTACGACCTCCGACGAGTCATCAAATAGGCAAAGCGTCAATACAGGACTAAGATCGAATCCTACTACGCCGGCTCTGGCGCTCGACGGATGTGGCAGGGCTTGCAAACTATCACAAATTATAAAGGGAAACCCAGCCGCGAGCTGCCCAGCGACACGAGCGTACCAGATGAGCTAAATGCCTTCTATGCCAGCTTTGAGGCAAGCACCACTGAACCATGCATGAGAGCAACAGCTGTTCCGAATGACTGTGTGATCTCGCTCTCCGTAGCCGATGTGCGTAAGACCTTCAAACAGGTTAACATTCGCAAGGCTGCGGGGCCTGACGGAATACCAGAACGCGTACTCTGAGCATGCGCTGACCAGCTGGCAAATGTTTTCACTGAAACGTTCAACCTATCCTGTAATACCAACATGTTTCAAGCAGACCACCATAGTCTCCGTGCCCAAGAACGCCAAGGTAACCTGCCTAAATTACTATCACCCTATAGCACTCACATCTATAGCCATGAAATGCTTTGAAAGGCTGGTCATGGCACATCAACACCATCATCCCAGACACCCTGGGAGCATGCTCCCATCCACATCAATGGGGCTGTAGTGGAGCGGGTCGAGAGCTTCAAGTTCATCAGTGTCCACATCACTGAGGAATGAAAATGGTCCACACACACCCACAGTTGTAAAGAGGGCATGACAGCGCCTCTTCCCCCTCAGGAGGCATGGGCCCTCAGATCCCCCAAAAAGTTATACATCTGCACCATTAAGAGCATCTTGACTGGCTCCATATAGTACGGCGACTGTAAGGCACCAGACCGCAAGGCACTACAGAGGTTGGTGAGTACAGCACAGTATATCACTGGGGCCGAGTTCCCTGCCATCCAGGACCTCTATACCAGGCGGTGTCAGAGGAAGGACAAAAAAAAATTGTCAATGACTGCAGCCACCCAAGCAATAGACTGTTCTCTCTGCTACCGCACGGCAAGCGGGACCAGTGCACCAAGTCTGGAACCAGCAGGACCCTGAACAGCCTCTACCCCCAAGCCATAACACTACTGAACAAGACTGCCAAATAGCTCATAAAATGGCTACCTGCATTGACTCTTTTTTTGCACTAAGTCTCTTGCACTGACTATGCACACACTGGACTCTACGCACACACTCACACATACTTACACTGGCACCCAAACACATACATACACACTACATACGCCCATACACACATAACATGGGCACACATGCATACTGACATCACACACACACACACACACACACACACACACACACACACACACAAACACACAACACACACTTTCACAGTCACCACATACGCTGTTGCTACTGTCTATTATCTATCCTGTTGCTTTGTCACTTTATCCCTACCATTATGTACATACTGTAGCTACCTCAATTATCTCTTAACCCTGCACATCGACTCGGTACTGGTACTCCCTGTATTTAGCCATGTTATTACCTGGTACTTCCTGTATATAGCCATTTTATTACCTGGTGCTTCCTGTTTTTATCCATGTTATTACCTGGTACTTCCTGTATATAGCCATGTTATTACCTGGTACTTCCTGTATATAGCCATGTTATTACCTGGTGCTTCCTGTTTTTAGCCATGTTATTACCTGGTACTTCCTGTATATAGCCATGTTATTACCTGGTACTTCCTGTATATAGCCATGTTATTACCTGGTACTTCCTGTATATAGCCATGTTATTACCTGGTACTTCCTGTATATAGCCATGTTATTTTTGCTTGTGATTGTTATTCGTTATTCCTCGCGTCACTATTTATTTATATATATATTATGTTATCTTTAACTCTGCAATGTTGGAAAAGGCTCTGTAAGTAAGCATTTAGTCTACACGTGTTGTTTACCAAGCATGTGACAAATAACATTTTATTTTATTCCAGCTATGTGTAGGTTTCCAACAGGTATGTAAGTGGCTATCATTCCAAACCAACATAGGATCTATGCAGTGCAGTTTATGTAGCATAGCCTGAATTAAGAATATATACATATATGGATGAGCGATGTCAGAGCAACATGGACTAAGATACAGTAGAATAGTATAGAATACAGTATATACATTTGAGATGAATAATGCAAGATATGTAAACATTATTAAAGTGACTAAGATACCGTACAATAGAAGTGTGGCCTTACCTGCCAATTAATGCCTTCTCTCCCTCCCCCTCCCCCATCTGCCTCCCCCTCTCTCCACCTCCCTCCCCATCTGCTCCCCCTCTCTACCCCTCCCTCCCTCCCCATCTCCCTCCCCCTCCCTCAATCCCCATCTCCCTCCTCCTCCCTCCCTCCCTCTCCCTCCCCCATCTCCCTCCTCCTCTCTCCCCATCTCCCCCCCCACCTTCCTCCCCCTCCCTCCCCTATCTCCTTCTCTCCCCTCTCCTCTCCTCTCCCCCTCTCTCCACCTCCCTCCCCTCCCTTAAGTGTTAGGTCACAATGGACACGTGTGTTGTCTCTATGTAACGTGTATACTGTTTAAACTCCTTCATGCCATGTCAAATGAAGCAGCAGCCCATCAATTAGGGTTGGCTTAGTGTTGTACGAGGAGATTAAGGATAAATCCCAAATGGCATCCTATTCCCTATTTGGTGCGACCAGAGCCCTGGTCAAAAGAAACACACTATGTAGTGTATATGGTGCCATTTGGGATACAGCCTAACATGACCTTTGGCTGCTGGGAGCAAGGGGTCACAGATAAAAATAGTTTAGGCTTGCTCACATTTTGGCCAAGAGAAATTAGAGTCAGCTGGAGATGACGCAGCAAAGATTAGTATTGAACTACAACATGGAGCGTGATGTCACTACCTGAACTTGTGAACCATTCTGTCAGTCAGATGGATGGGGTGGCGTTTATTCATGTTTGTCCCATGACAATGTAATTTTTTGATTGAAATAAAAGCATGTGCTGCTGTCTTTATATATCCCTGTTTGTTGGCCCTAGATTAAGGTCATTCTTAAATTAATAATCACTTGATTTGATGACATTTATAGTTGACTTGGTGTGCATCCCAAATGGAACCCTATTCCCTATATAATGCACTACTTTTGACCAGGGCCCATAGGGCACCATAAAGTGAAGAAGGTGTGTTGGAATGTGGTCTTGATGACACATATTTCAAATCAATCTCTTATGACTTAGTTTAAACAACTTGACAAGGGCACTGACTGTAGTTTATTTGGGTGTCTCTGATAGCGTTTGAGATTTGAGGTGCTAAAGTTAGTTCATCCATCCTTCCCCCTTTAAGAATCAGAGTAAGAGAGAGAATGTTAAAAGACGAGAGTGGTGTCCAAAGGGTCCCAGCAGAGCGGGGTCTGGCTCCAGAGCCCCCAGTGAACAGACTGCGTGATCGGGCTCACACCACCACAGCTCACCACCTGTCCCAGCGCGGTCACAGCTCTGACCCTGCCACCTATCAAAAGCCTGCCCCCTCCTCTCAGCCCTCCCAGCCTGCGTACGTCCACGTCCCAGACCACCACGCCTCAGTACCACACACCCACACATCAGGCCCTGCCATGGGCCGCCACGGTACCAACCAGCGGACCCCCATGGACCACCCGGTGGTGGAGGTGGAGCCCCCGAGGAGGAGGGTCAGTGCCGACCACATCTACACGACCCACAGGGAGACCCACAGGGAGGGCAGGCAGGCGCCAAGAGAGGAGGTCCTCACTGAGGGTCTGCTAAAGAGCAGGAAGGCCGTGCTGCCCTCGGAGATCCGCCGCAGGGAGAAGAGCGTGGACGACCCCCAGAGAGGGGAGCCCCAGCGGGTCCCAGGCTGCTGCCAGGACGACTCTGCCACCTCAACCGGCATGGAATGGGAGAGCTATGGCATCGGGGGGAGGAGAACCAGTCGGGAGGACTCAAAAGAGTGGGAGACTAGGCCTCAGGACAGGGACCAGCAGCAGCAGCAGCACTGGTCCAGCCACAGCCAGGACACAGAGGAGACAGGTCCAGCCAGGCCCATGGAGATCTCTTCCCACTCCAAGCCCAGACAGCAGCAGCTACAGCAGGCCCCTCAGCCTCTCCACCAGCCTCTCCACCAGCCCCTCCGCCAGCACCAGCAGAGCCAGAGTCAGCCTGGGCAACAGAGAGGCAGTGACTCGGCCGTCTACCTCCAGAGTGGCGCCTCCCTCCACCAGGCCAAACACAGTAGCATGGAGCCAGCCGGGCCGCGCGGGCCCCCCAAGCCCAAGGTCCGCACACGCTCCATGTCCGACATCGGCGTGAGCCAGCGCCCGGCTGCCTACAGGAGCATGGAGAGGGCAGCAGCCAGCAGAGAGACAGCCACGGCAGCCCAGCTGGCCAGGGAGGGAGGGGTGGCGGTGGGGGTGCTGCACAATGGGGAGGTGGGAGCCCTGGACACCAGGGTCTCTGTGGCCCAGCTCCGACACTCGTACCTGGAGAACGCCAACAGGAAGCCGGAGCTGTAGGTGGAACAGCATGGCTACTGACTCTTTAATCAGTTTGATGTGGTTAATTACCTAACACTAATGTAGACTGTCATCCTAATATGAGGCTTGAGGGGTTTGAGGCTTGAGGGGTTTGAGCAGTATATTGCATAGTCAAACGTGATATCAAGAGATCTTCTAAGCCTTTATGAGGTGTAATTTACTATTTGTTTAGCCACCTGCTAGGACATTCTGTCATTATCAGCCTGTTGGGCAAACGTGAGTGGTTTGTTGCTGCATGTTGTGCTGCTGACAAAGTCTCTGATTTTGGGGACAGATATTTTTTTGGGTGTGATCGTGCTGTGTGACTTCAACACCTCTAACCTGGATTGCTGTGGAAGACGTACTAAACGCATCATCAATATCAAACTGCCCTTGCCGTTTGTTCTCTCAATATTATTCTCCTTTTATGTTGCCGTCGTCGCTATATCCATCCCTAATCACAACCCTAAAAGAGAGCCGACTAAAGTAGAGCTAACTGCCATGGAAGTAGATCCGGCTGCTGGGAGCGCTGATCGGGAGCGTGGTGCGGCACGGAGGCCGCGGCGCTACATCACCCCAGGAGACAACCGCAAGTCCTCTGAGAGGTTTAGGACCCAGCCCATCACCTCTGCAGAGCGGCTGGAGTCTGATAGGTGAGAGTATTAGGACGCAGCCCAGAGCGGCTGCTGGAGTCTGATAGGTGAGAGTATTAGGACGCAGCCCATCACCTCAGCAGAAGGGCTGGAGTCTGGTGGGTATTGAAGGCCCTGAGTGACTGGATAAGGTCCACAGAATACGTTTGGTAAAATCACCAGTGGGTGTGATACATGGTGGAGGCTAGATTATTTTAAAGCTCTCTGTACTTGGATTATTTGTTCTCTTGTGGGTAATTTTTTGTTCTCTTGTGGGTAATTATTTGTTCTCTTGTGGGTAATTTTTTGTTCTCTTGTGGGTCATTTTTTGTTCTCTTGTGGGTCATTTTTTGTTCTCTTGTGGATACATTTTGGTTATCTTGTGGGTAATTCGTACTGTGCCTCATAGCAAAAGACCACTAGTGAATTGTGTCTTTGTTTTGTTTTGTCCTCAGGTCTCGTCTGAGTCCAACAGAGCTACAGAACCCAGAAGGCAAGTTTCAGTGGAGATTATTTGCTTCATTTAGTTACAGATAACACTATTAATTTAAAAAAAATCTTAATTAGCCACGTTGCTCACCATCTAACAGCACAATGGTGGATGTGAGGGATTTGTTGAAGTGAACGATAGATAAACTTGCCTAGATGAATTGACTGTGTCAGGCAGGGAAATACACACACACGTTTCACATAAAGTTATGAATATAACTACTGTTCCCTGAAGGAGGGAAAAGAGGTATGGGGGTCAAACTCATGAGAGTGTTGGCATCCTAGCAATATGACAAAAAAATAATGCCATTCTGCCAAAACTTTAATCTCTATAGCTAGGTTTCCATCCAATTTGCGTCAGATTTTCATGTGAATATTCTAAAATCTGCATAAAACAATATGCGCATTTTCCCACCAGAGATGTGTTTCCATCAAACTGCTCTAGCCAACAGCTCACACATACAGTGTGGGTAGGCTACCTACATTATGAGATTATAGATATTAGAGATTATAGATAATTATTATAGATAAGAGCGTTATTATTTGTATTTGTTAAACAGCAGCCAAGCATCGATCATCATGTCACCAGAATAAGACCTTCGATATTTATTGGAAAGGAGCATCAAGCTCATAATAATAATAAATAAATAATATGCCATTTAGCAGACGCTTTTATCCAAAGCGACTTACAGTCATGCGTGCATACATTTTTGTGTATGGGTGGTCCCGGGGATCGAACCCACTACCCTGGCGTTACAAGCGCCATGCTCTACCAGCTGAGCTACAGAGGACCTTGCACTTTCACCACCCTGTGAAGTTCATCATAATTTATTTAATCTGTAGCCTAATAAACTGAAGGCTTTCCCGAGTCGTTGCGGGAGGACCACACAACATATCGCGTGACTCCAAATTCACTTCGATATGATGGTTATTATATCAATATTTGCCCATGAAGGCGTTTCCACCGCCACTTCTTGCATAATTAATTTTACAGACACAAAAAGATCCCACCATGTCGAACACACAAATTGTCTGTCAGCATTTATAAAATTGTATCTGCCCAGTTGTGACTTTTTTCATGGGTCAGGTAATTGATGGTTGGATGGAAACGTGGTTTATGTTGTGAACTGACATTGACATCAATGTTATGCCCTTCCTTTTTAACAGCTAACGAAGAAAAGCTTGATGAGAGAGCTAAGATGAGTGTGGCTGCTAAGAGGTCCCTTTTTAGGGTACAGTATCTGCCTTGTCTACATTTAGGGCCGGTTTCCCGGACACAGATTAAGCCTATTCCTGAACTATAAATATATTTCAATGGACATTCTCCATTGATCCTGCTTTTCAGTCCAGGACTAGGCTTAATCTGTGTCCAGTAAACCAGTCCATATATTATGTTCCCGTTGTTTTATGTATGTCGTTGATGAGCAGAGATTTACTCCGTAGGACTGTTCCTCTTCGGTGTCTTTCACAGGAGCTAGAGAGGACCACAGATACCGTTCCCAAACCACGGTCCCAAAACCCCGCCGTGGAGAGGCGTCAGCGACGAGTCCAGGACCGCGTACACACGCAGCCTATCACCAACGAGGAAGTGGACATCGCTCACACGTACGTCACCCTCTGATCATTACTGAGCGCCACTAAGGTCATTTTGTTAACAAAGCAAGGGTTAAAAAATTGGCTTTAGGACAGTTGGTGAATAGAAAGGGATAGTTTCTCTGTGTCACGATCTCTTAGCTCTCTCTCTCTCTTAACTCTCTCTCTCTCTCCCTCAACTCTCTCTCTCTTAACTCTGTCTCTGTCTCTCTGTCTCACTGTCGGTCTCTCTGTCTGTCTGTCTGACTGTCTGTCTGACTGCTTTATCTGTCCTTGTGTCTGTCCCCTCTTTTCTGGACATATAAAGTGGCCTTGCTATGTCCTCACAAACGGTGATGGTCCACTCCACAGTAGCACCTATCCCCAGCCCCACTGTAGTCAGCACCATCATGACCAGGTACAGGTGACTGCACTGTGTGTGTGTGTGTGTGTGTGTGTGTGTGTGTGTGTGTGTGAGAGAGAGAGCACTGGACATAGGTTTACCTAATTGATATCCAATTAGAGCAAAACTTTTTTTTTACATTCCATTCAGCTTACAATTGGCTTGCTCCATTGCATGGAATGTACCGTTCATCCGTGATTAATATGAAGATATTATTGATTGATTCATAGGGTTGCAAAATTCCGGTAACCTTCCCAAAATACAATTTATTTATCCAGAAATCCTGGTCGGAGGATTCCGGATGTTCTGCTTATTCCCTCTGATTCAAGGAATCTTTCAACAGGGATTTCTGGAAAACCTGGGAATTTTGGGAAAGTTACCAGAATTTTGTAACCCTATTCATTCATCTGTAATTGTTGTCTATAGAGCAGGATGGGCAACTGGCTGTAGGTCAGCAACAATGTTTTAGATTGGTAAATTAGTCTAGTGGCCAGCTATTTAAACTTGTAGTAATCATGGTTGAATTACCGACCGGGGGGGTCCCATTGATATTGTTAGTCACTGCAAACATTTCTCTCCACCCTATGGCAACGTGTAGAATTGCAGGAAATTAGCTGTAAAACTACAAACTTTTCACTCCGCCTAATGGCAAAATGTGTAGAATTGCATGAAATGAGTTTTAAAATGGCTAAATCTTCTCTCCTCCCCATGACAAAATGTCTCTCCGCATGACAAAAATTCTCTCCGCTGTCAAGAAGGGGGGCGACAAAAGGCTAGAGAGCCCTCTTTAGGGTACAGTATCTGCCATGTGTGTACTTGTCTACATTTAGGACTGGTTTCCCGGACACAGATTAAGTCCTGAACTATAAATATATTTCAATGGACATTCTCCATTGAGCCTGCTTTTCAGTCCAGGACTAGGCTTAATCTGTGTCCAGGAAACCAGTCCATATATAGTGCCTTGCAAAAGTATTCATCCCCCTTGGCGTTTTTCCTATTTTGTTGCATTACAACTTGTAATTTAAATGGATTTTAATTTGGATTTCATGTAATTAAATGAAAAAAAAAAAATATATATTTTTTTATAACGGAAAAGTGGTGTGTGCATGTGTGGGTACGCAGACCCGTGAGCCACTGCGGACCCTCATGATGAGTTACGATTTTTTTTGTGGCCCCCACCCCAATCAAAGTTGCCCATCCCTTCTCTAGGGCTACAGGTTGAATGTATTAGGCAGGCAGCGGTCTGCTCTACAGTGCCTTCTGCTGTTGGTTGTGTTCAGTTGTCTCACATTACCTTGCTGCTTTTGCTAACTCACTCACCTGCTCCTTGCTTGTTACCCAGGAATAGCTGTGTGAACCAATGACGTATATAAACCCTGAATTGCTGATGCTACGTATTGGCCAATGAGAGGCTTTGAAGCCACCGGTCGACCATTTTGGCACTCCCTAGTAGGAGCAGTCCTCCATTGGAATGAATGGTATTCTACAGTATTTCAATTAAAAGTTTATAGGACAAAATGACATGTATTTAAGTATTGTTTTTGTAGTGGGGACAGTAACATTAGTACTCTCTAATAAATACTTTAAGGAAAATGTTTTATAAAAAATAAAAAATAAAGTTTAGCTCACATAATATAATTCAAAAGTATGCATTAAGGTGTCTGTAATAGAATAAACATGTCAAAAAACGAATGTCAACATTAATAAATGCATTTCTATATCTTCCAATATATTATTTTACAATTGAGGAGGAGTACCAAGATGGCTACGCGAAGGCTTCAATACATCGCCCTCTGTCAGTCATCTAGGGTTTATACACATCATTTGGTAGAACCTCATAGACAGGTTGGTTGTTTAGCAACCGATGTACCAGATCATATGGGTTGAAAAGTTGTTGTTTTTCT